TACATTCAGCCTATACTTGCATGTTAGAGTACAATTAGCTTAGCTTAGCATAAATCATTGAATCAGATTAGACCATTAGCATCTCGTTAAAATTCTTACTATGGCTGATGTTAGGGAGTCGCCAGCTACTGTAGATAACTGCACTACGTAATGTCACTGCAGTGCTTCAGTCATCATGCAGCAGCACAATTCCCTGTTTATTATTCCAGACTGACGCCAGTTACTACTAATATTACAGCAGTTTAATCCCTTTAGCCATAGCAACTATAGCAAATAACTTTTCTTTTCCTGTTGGTCTTAGTACATGATGCAACTATAAACTGTAAAGAGTCAAGTTTTATGTGTTAATTTTCCAAATGTTTATAGATGCTAATGGTCTAATCCGACTCAATGATTTATGCTAAGCTAAGCTAAAAGTGCTCCCACCAATCTCAGAAATGGGCTAAATGGTTTGAAAATTCAGCACTTTAACTCTAGGAGAGCTGTAAAATGAGAATATTTCCCAAAATAGTGTTGCTTTAACAGACAATTACACACGTGGAACACAGAGGGTCAAAACTCAGTGTGGTTTGGTGGTCATCAAGACAACAGAAAGACGACAATCTCTATAGTTGATTAATGAATACTCACTGATCAATGATAGCAATTGAAGTAATCAATAATATCTAAGATCCCAATTCATATTAGGTGGCCTTCTGTGTTGATAATGTACTGCAGAACACTTGTGTGCTGTTGAGTTGTGATACGGGTCAGGTTACAGTCCTGTTGGATAGGTTTAAGGGTGTAAAGGGTGGTCAACAGTGTCAATGCAATTAGAGGAATTAATTACAGATGTAATAACAGGCATGCATTTAATCAATTATAAGTACAATGTAAAACACGTGTGTACACAATTATTAGATTATAACTAATGATTAATTTCAGTCTAAACACATATTAGTTAAGGCCACCTATTATAAAGTGGGACTGTACCTGATAAATGGAAGTAATAAATTAAACTAATGTCCCTTCATTAAGCACACAAGTGTCCACACAGCAGAACTCAATGTCCAAAACCCTTTCTGACAATGTAATGCTGTGATTTGAAGAGGACGTACTGAATTATTACAGCTTCTCCAGCTATATAGTGAGACAATTTGACTATGTCTTGAAAACATGATCTGTAAAGCGTCTTGATGATCATACGGTCTTGTCATGACCCGCTGAGCAGATCTCACACGGTGAAAACTTCATCATTTCAGCTGAAAAACACAACTACAGCCTAACAGCTAAACCAGGACACACTAGCGAATATAACATCCTCCACCAGGGCTATGAAGGTTTCGGTTAAATATTAACTCGACGTCATTTATTCATGGAAATGTCATGTGTATGATCATGTTCATGATTTATAATAAAATATGAGATGCATTATTAAACACTGCATGAAGACACAAACAGTTCCTGCTGAACGCCAGCACTGAAACTGAGCGACAGAGTCTTCAGCTCATCTCTGACAGAGGCTGAAGAGCTCAGAGCTGGAAGAGTTGAGGACACACACACACGCACGCACGCACGCACGCACGCACGCACACACACACACACACACACACACACACACACACACACACTGGTTACTTTTGATAAACTGAATTATTTTTTTTCAGTGATAGTCCATGATGCGCATAAGAACAGGTGTACACACAGCTAGTACAGCGCTGAAGGCCACAGACTCCTCTAACGGAGCACATGCGGCTCCAGCAGAAGCATTCACTCATCCTGACACAAACACAAATGGATGGGAATGTTCTCGTGAAATCATTAGTGCATAAAATCAATTGCTGAAATGAGCGTCCCCTTCGGGCCTGGATTCAACTTTCTTCAGCTTGACACTTAATAATTGAAAATAAAACAGAGAACTCACATAAACAGAGCAGAGGAGCACACAGCGTCTGCTTCAGCCTGTCAGATGAGCTGTGTGATGGAGAGCAGATCCTGAACAACCCGGGACAACTGCATCCTGCTGGAAGAGGTGCTGTGAGGGCAACAGGCGGGATGTTTCAACAGGACAATGACCCAAATCTACTAAGGACTTCATGCTCAGATACAATACAATGACAGAATGGCCATCCCAGTCCCCATACCTGAACATCATGGAAAATATATGAACTGATTTGAAAAGGGCCGTCCTCGATCAGCACCCATCAAACCTGACTGACCTGGAGAAATTCTACAATGAAGACTGGTCCAAAATGCCTTCAGCAAGACTTCAGGGACTTCTCCTGACTTTAAGAAGTGTCTAAAGGCTGTTATTTCAGCTAAACCTGGCTCTGCAACAGACTGATGTCGTTATTCTGTCAGGGTGCGATTTATGCATCTGTCTGTTATTTTTAAGACTTTAACTGCATCTGCTGATTAAATAAATGTCATGTCAGAAGTGAAATGTTGCCTTTACCCGAGGGTATAACATATATCCAGATGAGTGTGCTGATCTGAAAGGCCCGCAGGCTCTGTCTGCAATTATGAAAACTATCAGGGGTGCACAAACTTTTGCATAAGACTGTAAATGCGAGTGTGTGAGAGAGAGAAGCTGCCTTTTGCTCTGGGTGGTGATTGAAGTCGCTGGTGGGCGTTTCCCAGCTTAAGATTGCTTTGACATTGACAGCAAATGAGTTTTCTTGCCACTGAAAATAAACATTATGCAGATAAAGCAGTAATTATAACTGAAATCCATACATAACATGCTTAATTACAAAGATGAACAGGAAAACAGCGTGTTCTCTGTAATTACAGCACTGTAATCTGCTGCAAACCCGAGTCTGTGTGGATCTGGAGATGCAGCCGGCTGCTGCAGGAGCTGAGAGAGGGTCACCTGAGCTCTACTGGCGCTCCTATTGGCTGTTATTCACTAAAGTCCCTCCTCATTTGCATAAAGTTGAAGGATCCGCAACTGTGTTTGGTCTCTCGACACATCAACATCTACATTTCGACATGACCTTCCCTACACTTGTTTCCTCAAGGGAATCCCTGCCACCACTTAAAAGGGTGTTCCACTTCATCAAGTGAACGAGGGAAGTTTACATGGACAGACTGTCAATCCCTCCATTCTGACCTAGCTGGCTTCATGTGTCCACTCCATAAACCTATTCAGATGCTCAGCTAGTAGTGGACACTATCAATGATGTACATTTGAGGGAACAAGACAGAGTCCGTCACCGGAAGTCACCAGCTCTCCATTGAAATGAATGATCTGTAGCTGCTGACTCACTCGTAGGGTTAAAGGTGTTTGACACACAGTATTGTCTGCATCAGGGCAGGGTGTGTGTGTGTGTGTGTGTGTGAGTGTGTGTTAGTGAACTCCAGCTCTTGCTGCTGTCTGAGAGCCTCGCTGGACACTAAACACACTCCTCTCAGTGTGAGTGCAGCTGAAGACTGCAGTCCCGATCCTGAGGCAGTTCAAGTGAAGATCAGCACATCACAGCTTCATCTTTTAGTCATGCAGACAGCTTGTAACACCAGACTCTGGAGACGTGTCTAAAAACTCCCTCTGAAAGCAGGCGGCGCAGTAAATAATGCACGTGCTGGCCGCTCCGCATCTCAGCCAGTCTGCCTGCGTTAGTGGAGGATGAGCATTAAACTGGAGAAGAGCAGCGGCAGCACTGACACACGACACACTGACTACCAGCAGCAGATCACATTCCCTGCTCACTGCAGAGTACACCAGTTTCCCTGTCGACTAGGTAGTGGATCACTTTCCCTCTTGACTGATTAGTAAACGAGTTTCCCTCTTGATTAGTTAGTAGTTGAGAATTCCAGTTGACTAGTTTGTAGATGACATTCACTGTTGTCAAATAGTAGCTGAGTTTTGCCATTTACTAGTTAGAAGAGTTTCACGATTGACTGCTTGACTAGTTTGTTGACTGGTGGATAATAAAGGAGTTTCCCTGCTGATTAGTTAGTAAATGAGTTGTCTTGCTGACTAGTTAGTAGATGATAGTCGATGTTGAGTAATTAAATGATTTTCCCTGCTGACTAGTTAGTAGACGAGTTTTCCTTCTGATTATTCTGTCGTTGAGTTTCAGCTTTTGGATATTGGACATGATGTATTCTGTCTTTGAGAGCTGTTGTCTCTCTATGCGCTCTTGTTATCAGCAAGTATAACCCATAGCCCCTGCATCAGGACTGTAACACATATAAAGGCTTGAGAAAGACTGAAGCAGCCGAGGCTTTTCTCTGAGGTGTTGATCATGAGATGGATACGTGTGGCACTGCTGAGCTCTCTGTTTATTGATAATGTTGTATTTTGATATTAGCTGTGGCCTTGAGAGTATAGTTGAGCTGCTCATGAGTTTGAATAACACACACTCAAATGTTTTCTATATTCCTTCAGCTCAATCCATTGGAAATGTGTCATATTGTCCAGATGATGATGAGTGTGATATTCTTACTCACAGAGCTGTTCAGACATCTTCACACGTGTGATCTGAGGAAATCAATAATATTCTGCTTTCAGGACTGACATTCTCTGTGAAGCTTCAAACTCCCAGCCTAAAGAGAAGTACAATCATATCAAATCCTTTACGTCTGAATGTAGAATTACAGTCATATTCACACAGATCTTCTGCTGTGACCGTGTGTGTTTCTCACATGTGTTTCTGTGTTAAAACTAAAGCTGTTAAATGTGTTCAGGTGTTTCAGTGTTCAGTGTGTTTCTATTCTGAGACTTATTCCTGTCTCAGTCTTGTGTGTTTTAGTTTCACAGAGCTGGCGCACGAAAGCAGATGTCAGATTTCATTACTGTATCATACTCATGGCTGTGTTTTTCAGATGAGCGTCCTCCTGAACCTCAGGACCTGTGTGAGACGCACTGCGTTAGTCTGCTTTTACATCATGAGCTGCTTTTCATTGTGACATAATTCAATATATATTCACACAGCCATCTTTCAATAGTAAAATATTCTGTCTTTCCATCAACCTGCAAATACAGAAATATCAGAAAACATCACACAGAAACAAGCAGCTTCAAACATCTGAAGGTTCATTAAAATCTCTCAGGGTTTCAGCGTGTAAATGACAGCTTGAAGGGAGTGAGAACCAGACAGGCTGACGAATTCTCTTTCATCAAGAAAGACGAGTGTTTGATCAGCAAGATAAAAATATAAAATATTTCAATTCATTACACATATAAACACAACAAGATATTCACAGAGTCTGCGTGTGCTGTTGTTCATGGGGAAACCGCTGGCAGGGCAGTTTCCTCTGTCTGTGTGCTTCAGTTCTCACACGGCCTTAAAAACACTGCAGCGGCACAGCAGCTCACCTCACAGTCCCTCCACATTCAGCTGTCTGATAGTTCCAGACACAAATAAGACATAAAGATGGAACACACACACACACACACACACACACACACACACACACACACACACACACACACACACACACACACACACACACACACACACACACACACACACATCCCACTCCAGTGAGTCAGTAATGCAGACTGAGAGGGAATTCGAGCACCAAACTTCCACTGAGCAGCACGCCACAGTATGGTACAGTACAGTAAAGTATTCAGGGCTTCATTTGTGCCGGAATCTCTGAAACCTGATCCAGCATCTCATTTAATCAATCCTCCTCCTCACACGCACCCCTGCCTCACCCCACTCTTCACTTTCTTCCACGACTCCCCATCCCTTTCGTCCACGACACAGACTCAACCCCACTCTCCTCGGGGTGACCATGGTGCTTTTCTTTCATCTTATCATTACTCTGTCGTGTTTCAGCTGTTTGTTTATAAATCCTGTGTTGTTGTTATGTTTGTATGATGTGCAACTGAAGATTCTGTGTAAACCAATCAGCTTTCTGCAGTGAGTTTAGCTCCGCCCTTTAGTAATGTGTAATGTACTGTTGTGTCAGGTGCCCTTAGGAGAGGTTCCTAAAACAAGTGGTACGGTTTGTTTTTCTGTTATTTACAACTCTTGGCAGAGGAGATGGCAATAACTGCATACTGTACTATACCGCAGCACACCGCTCAGTGGGAAAGAGCTGTCACTGTACCCCAAAGCAGAAGCTCATCTCTGCAACACAAACCCCCCTTCAGCAAGTGTCTGACGCGGCAGTGACTTCGACAGGGAACCTTAGTGATAATGTACAGTAAGCACTAGGAAACTGTGCTGAAACCCGACAGGTTTGTAGAGTGGTGCGTCTGCTTTGTGAACACGTCCCCTGAATGACGCTGACTTCATACCTGTTCTGGATATGGCAAGGCGTACAACTGTAATAATTAAATGAAACTTCACCAGAGTCATGCAGGATGGAGTAAATAACAGTTCAGTCAAAGGTGTCCATCTATCCCTGTGTTCTATACTGTGCTCTCCATAACCCACTCGGGGCTCTCGATCGTCCCCTTGCTCCCGTTGCTGTCCGCTTCCTCGTCGCACGGCAGCAGTGTCCCGTTAACCGACAGGCTGCGTTTGGTCCAGATGCTGCTGAAGCGGCGTGGGTAAGAGCGCAGCTGCTGCGCCGTGGGCACCGTAAAGTCGCCCATGTCAAAGGAATGGCTCCTCTTGGGTTTGGAGTCCAGCGGCAGCATGAGCAGTTTGCTGAGCCGAGAGTCCAGCGTCCGGCCCAGCAGCGGCTCCTTATCAGCAGGACCTGCCGGGGACACAGCAGGAGCAGCTGCACTCGACGGGGTGCCAGACAGACACAGGTCCTTGCTCTGGCCCCGAAGCTCCAGCGATGTGAAGGCGCCTAGGAGCTGGTCTATGTTGTTGTGCTGCTTTGGAGGTGCGGACCTCAAGATGTTGGCGAGGGCACTGTTGGGGCTGTAGGAAGTGGCATCTGCTGACCCTGAGGAGGAAGAGGAGGAGGACGAGCTGCTCTGGAGAGAACCGCACTTGAATTTGACCACTTCGTCCCGCATGGTGACCGTAGACTTTTCTTTTGGCCCCGGCAGAGGCACCCCATTCTGCCCCAGCCTCCCTCCGTTGGTCTGAGAGTATGTTTCACTGCTGTCGCTCAGCTTGCTGACAGGAGCGTCGCCTCCACCGTCCCCCGCCTTATAGCGCACCATCAGGATGACGATGAACACCAGCAGCGTGGCCACGATCACTCCCCCCACCACCAGGATCATGGTGCCGCCCAGCAGCTGCCCCTGAAGAGACTGGCATTGAGTGTAGTCGTCGCGGGTGTAGAACTCCACGCAGCCCACCACATTAGTGGCAGTGAGGGTGGTGGCGGAGTCCTCCCAGGCCGCCAGCACACACAGGTCATAGCGAGTCCCAGACACCAGGTTGGTGATGTGGAAGGCCTTACTGGATGAAGGGATCATCCTAAGCACACAAAAACAAACACAGTTCACACAATAGAAGACGAAAGCATGAATGTCAGAGGCTTTGCCAAAAAACCCTCAAACACTGGGTTTTAATGGATACGACTCATAAAGCTTAACTTTCCATTACAGTACATCTGAAGTTTAGATAATAATACAGAAACTCTATAAAACTTTCCTCCTTGCCAAAGGTCCAGTGATTGGCTGCTGACTCAGCGTGTTGTGATTGCCCAACTGACCCAGTACACTCTGAAAGACCAGCTGACCCACTGCTCTGTGCTTGAGCAGCTGACCCAGTGTGTTGTGACTGGCCTCACGGCTCAAGCATGTGTTAACATGTAACATCACTCAAGGCTTCTACAGCAACAGGACTCAACGGTTAATGAAGCAGAGCATTAGTTCTGGCAGGTCCCGTTAGTCAGGCTCGCTTCAGCTCAGCTGATCCTCTTCTACCTGCTGGAATATGATGCCAGTCACGATTTCCTTTATAAGGGTCATTGTGCTCATTATTCAGTGGATTATCACTTCACTCCGCAGCTTCCTCTCTCACAGTCAGGACCAGCACCAGAGACTTCTCCTCGAGTCAGACCACTGCACAGTGTGGTATAATATAGTCACTAAGAACATTGATGATATCTGCTGCGTGACGAGCTGATGCTGCTTCTGTTCTGTTTACCCCAGACCAGAACTGCACCCCCAACCCAACACATCTGCTGTAATAACTGATTATAAATGATTGTGCTATATTAAAGTGTTCTTTGACGATAGCGGCCCTGACAGAAATGAGGATTTTACTGTCTCTGAGATCCTGGTGACTCTTGTGAGCTTTTATTTTGTTAAGGAACGGGTTTTTATTTGACATGTTCAGTCATGCTGTGTTTAGGTTTCTCCATGTATTAAATAAGAACACAAATATATTGATCACGATGTCTACTTTAGACTCTCTTTAAGGATCACAGATCACAATTGTCCTCTTAAACTCTGTGTGATGTTTATGTATTTCTGTGATGATGACAATAGACTCGCATGCTGGAGGAAACATAGCTCTTTATTATTCACTTGCACACTAACTTCCTTACATGCGCCACCTGCATGTGACGTCAACTCACGTGACTTCACAGGTCACATCCAAATGCATATGTTACACTCTGCCTCTCCCTCTAGCCCTGGTTTTGGCCACTCATCCGGCAGATGTTTTTCCTGACTATACTGTAAGCATGTGGCTCCAGCAGAGGGAGCTTTGGCCTGAACACTGGCCGCGTGTCGTTCCTCTGCTTACTCTGTGCTGGTTTTCAGTTTGGTAGTTATGACACACTGGAGTGGTGACATTATCTCCAGTTCTACTGTGAGCTCCTCATGTGCTGTCTGTCTTCCACATGTATGACCATTTACCCTGCTAATCCTCACTGTGTTTTGTGGGATTTTACCTTGACCAGATGCTTGGATACATTATGGTGTTTGATCATGTTGTCTGGCTTCAAGTCCACGGCTGCTGTTTGAGTATTAAAGCTTTTAAGTTAGTTAAAATGCCAAATAAAAAGAGAAATGTTGCCTTGGCAACGACCTGACAACATTTAGATATGACAGACATTTGCATGGACAGATTGATGAATGTCAGACTAGTTAATCAATGTCTTTCTCTCCAGAATGATCCTGCAGCAGGGTTTGTGTGCAGAGATTTCGCTGGAGATGAGTGGACATATCTTGTTTTTCCACAGCCTTGAGTTGGTTCTGCTGATCTGACAGCAGCAGTAATTGGCTGTATTTCTTCAGCCCATCTGTGCTGCTGCCACGAGCAGATGGCCGATCCGATATCACAGATGTATATTAATATAAAACCATCATACGTCATAGAGCAGAGTGGAGAGCGTTTACTTCTGCACAAACACACACACACGCACACACACACACACACACGCACACACACACACACACACACACACACACACACACACACACACACACACACACGCACACGCACACACACGCACGCACACGTCTGATCTGTGGGTCGGTGAGAGATGAAGACTCCACTGCTTCCCTGACACTAACAGTAAATGAGTGTCTGCTACAGCGGCTCTACAGTCTCTACAGCGGATAGAACCACCAACTATTCCAGCATATGTTTTACACAGCCCTTTCAGCTGTAACGCAGTAATACACACTCACACACACACACACACACACACACACACACACACACACACACACACACACATACATTATGGCCAATTTGGTCGATCAATTCCCCTATAGCGCATGTGTTTGGACTGTGGGGGAAACCGGAGCACCCGGAGGAAACCCACAGCCTGTGCAGCCTTTGGTAATTTTGAATGGTAGTGTGAGATTAAAAAACAAGGAAGAAGGAATGGACACTTTAATTCATCATGGACACTTGAATCTGATCATTAGTGACATTTAGATCGTGACAGGATTTGTATGGCAGATGAGGTGATTGTGAAGCTTATTTTCATTAAATGATCGTAAATAATGGAAATAAAACCAGTTTCAGCACTGATAATAATCAGAAATGTTTCTTGATCATCAAACTGGAGTGATGTCTGAAGGATTTATGATGATTGTTTAAGTGCACTAGTAAGTGTTCACTAAAACACACACTCATACCTTCTAACACTGTTCAGGCTTGCTGCATTTATAAAGCGTCCGTGTCTTGAAGTCAGTCAGTCTGATGTGATTTTTCTATGTGTGATCTGATTGGACGGGAATCACAGAACTGATTATTGTACTCAGCCAATCAGAGAAGACGAGAGAAAACGCTGTAAACGTTTAAAGTATTGACTGCAGGTTGAAGGACAATAGTGCACTAACAGTCCAGACGCAGCAATACAAATAAACGTGTCTGAACCTAAAGTAATCTGAGTGTTGTAATGTTACTTTACACCACTGTCATTCTCAGTGGAGCTGCAACTGTAGCATGTGTATAAAATAATCAGCACGCATAAAACATTAGTTACAGACTTGGCTAATCTGAAGAGCTAAAAATAAAGTTGAACATGATTAAAGAAACACAACTTCTGCTCAACACAACAGGACCTGCATGCTCAGAGTCTCGCTGCGGAATAACACACGGGTTTGATATATCAATAAAACATAATATGCTGCATATTTAATACCAAGAGAAGGCACCCTGTTATTCCTGCTGCTGCAGCTGTGTTGTGTTGTGAGGTATATGTTAATAGGAGTGTTGGGTAAGCTACTTTACAAAAGTATTAGAGTACAAATGACTAGGCCTCCTAATGGAAAATGATAATCTGATTACACTACCAACTACTTCATGTAAAAAATAATCAGATTACTAATTACTTTAATAAGTACACCTTACTGTGGAAACCCAACTCTAGTCAGTAGAAATCCCTCGCTTTCCTTCAGTTATTCTCTTCTTCCTCAGGGGTCTCCACAGCCCTGGCACATGCCCGGCTCTGAGTGCCAGTTCTCCCCCTCAGCCCTTCCTCTTACCCCTTGTTTTGTGCATCACATGAAGAGGTAGGGGTGTCCCGATTCTCTTAAGCTTGGCGTAGGGCTTAGCGGAAGTGGAAGGGCTAGATACTGAGATTTTCAAGGTACAGTAAAAATTACACCAGCTACAACAGCAAAACGGCTGCACACGCGAGTCAGGAGATGCACAAATAAGTATTTTTTGGCAATTTTCCAAATTTTTACAATCAAGCGGTCAAGTTTTCAAGTCAAGTTTTAATACAGCCATGACAGCGTTCGTGTTTTACCGTCACACTTTAAAAATTATACATTTTTATTTTTAGAAAATTTAATTGGGAATGGGGTGGTGCAGTGGGTAGCACTGTCAACTCACTGTAAGAAGGTTTGTGTCCGGGCCGGGTCAGTTGGTGTTTCTGTGTGGAGTTTGCATGTTCTCCCTGTGTTGGCGTGGGTTTCCTCTAGGTGCTCCGGTTTCCCCCACAGTCCGAACACATGCGCTATAGGGGAACTGATTAACTACACTGGCCGAAGTGTATGAGTGTGTGTGTGAGAATGAGTGTGTATGGGTGTTTCCAAGTACTGGGTTGCGGCTAGAAGTGCATTCGCTGTGTAAAACATATGCTGGATAAATTGGTGGTTCATTACACTGTGGCGACCCCTGAATAATAAAGGGACTAAGCTAAAAATACAATGAATGAATGATTTGGGCCTAAAAGTGGATTGTGAGAGAAATCGGAGGAACACACACCGATAGGAGAACATGCTAACATGCTGAACACTGTGCTACTTAACCAAAATCAGGCAAAACCGACTTAAAATCTATTTTCTGTACCCATTATATTACATTAAGGACAGTGATGTTCAAGCAAACACACAGCGGCTGGTGAGACTTATCTATTCCTTTTCATTAGCAAATACCATCAAGTGTCCTAATACTGTGCTGGAGTCTCCTACTACAGGCCTAAATGATAAAAACATTTGATTTTTCCAGGAATATGCATTCATTATTAGCGAGCTGCTCTACCACTGAAACCATTGTAGAGATATTACTTTAATAAACCACTCTGTGTTCCTTTAAATGCCTGTGCACATCAGGATGAGTGTTGCTCGTGCTTTTCACTAAAGCTTGATGTCTGTTGACTAAACAAAGGGCAGCACTGTGAGTGTGCACAGCGATGTGCAAAATGTCATGTGTGAAAGCATAATTAAAGAACACCTCGAGCTGTTGTTTTGGTTTGATGTGCTGCATTAAATCTGCTGGAGCAGTTAGATTGACACGTGCCTGAAGCTGCTGGAGTTTGAATAAACACAACTTGTCACCCAATCCCAAACTGCTCCAGCCGAACACACATTACTGAAGCTGAAGATTAAGAATAAACAATAATACACGAGACGCTTCCTGTTTGACTGGTGTCTGAACACAAAGAGCTGCATGATAAACACCACAGCTCCACACATCTCCACAGGAGGAATGGCATTCATACAACAGCAGATGAGTTTCATTCACTAATTCTGCTTTTATGTCTTGTAAGTTCATCAGGAGTAATCTAGTGTCTGGGAGTGATTTGCAGATGATTATCTTGGTGTCCTTATCCACTGATTAAATCAGATTCTAATTTAAAACCGATGTCAGAATCGGTGTTTGGACTGTGGGGGAAACCGGAGCACCTGGAGGAAACCCATGCCAACATGGGGAAGACATGCAAACTCCACACAGAAACGCCAACTGGGACTCAAACCGGCGACCTTCTTGCAGTGATGTGACAGTGCAAACCAATGAGCCACAGTGTCCCCTGTCTTCATCTCAATATAGTTAAATTACTAAGCCCAAGTCACTGACTTGCATTAACCTGTAAATATGCATCAGATTAACAATGTTTCATCACATCTGGAGGACAAGCCCTGAAGTGTGCAGTTGTGCCCTGGCAGGACTCGAGCTCAGACGCCGCATCTGCTTGATTGACTGATGGCCGTTTGACACAGTGACACACAAACAACACACTTCAGCTTAAACCTGACACGACTGGCTCCCGGACCTGATGAAGCAGATGCTCATCTGACACATGTTTACTAGTGAGGAATCAGCTAATGTGACTATATGTTAGAAGTTTCCACACAGACACTTGATCCTTCAGTATGAGATCAGTGAGAGGAAGGCATTTGTCTATGAGAGGTCAATGAGAATCAGTGCCCCTCTTCCATTTATCATACAGTACTGCACACACACCAAAACTCAACCCCAACTCCACATCTTTACTTGTGTCGAATGCTGACAAATCTTTAAAATGTCACTAAAAGGACACCCTGTGGAGAAGCATCCCAGGATTCATCCAAACACAACGTGTGTGTTCTTAATCCCCGCTCTTCTGTGTGTGAGAAAGCATGCCAACAGAGAGATCACACCCTCACGCTTCTGATAGGCTGCGATTTCACTGCATTTTTACTGAGAGCTCAGACTCATCCTAAAAATCAAGGAGTGGTGTTGCAGCTGCTTATTTATTCTTCAGTGTGCTGTTTAAAACACATTTCCCAGAGTGCCTCATTGAGCCATTATGAGGAAACGAGTCAATAATGGGTTCTGTCACACTGGCACAATATGGACGTCTCTGATAAAGATGCCACACAGAATCCCTCCCTATGAGCTGAGCCCAGCAGTTTCCTCAGATCCTAATGGGGGAATTGCTTTACTGACGTTAAGTAATTTGATTTTCCCTCTGTCTGTCTAATCCAGCACGGTAGCTGCTGCTGTAATATACGATTACCCCATCAAAGAGCACAGGACTGACAGACTATCCAGCCACAGAGCCTCAGAATCCCCTCAGTGAACAGTCAGGAGAGGAGGAGAGGGTAGAAGAGGAGCTGGAGTTTCATGAGTAAGCAATTAAATGATAAGAAGAATTACACAACTGCATAGTGTATCAGTCGAGTGGACATACTGAAGAGTGAGGAACAAATCCTGCAGACAGCTACAGGGTACAAATGTAGGCTTCACTAACTGTCCTGAGTGCTATTTACAGAAAAATAACCACATACAACAGGGGTGTCAAACTCAGGTCCTGGACAGAGACTCAACCCTAGATAAACACCTGATCCCGCTCAGGAGCTCATCCTGTGTTAGAGCTGGATAGGAGCTAAACTCTGCAGGGCTGCCACCCTTTTAGAAACTGAGTCCGACACCTCTGACGTACGCTGATCAAACCACCCACCCGAATCCCTGCCGCTCGCTAAATCATCTTTCTCTCAGATCAGCATTCTGTCAGAGCTCTGAAGCCACTGTGCTGCGTACCTGTAGATGAGCACCTCATCATCTGAGCAGTTGTACTGGAGCTGGAACATCTTGACTTTGGGAGCAGTCTTGCCGACAGTCCACCTGACCAGCGCCGCCACTGCAGTCACCTCTGACACAGACACCGCTTTCTCTGGTTGACCCTTGGGAATGCCTTTGTTGGTCCTGGAGCCGCCTGTAATGTCTGACAGGCGGGACTTGGGTTGCGATGCCTGTCCTGTGCCGTTGCTTATGTGAGGCAGCTGAATAATTGACAGCTCCACGGAAGCTGTTGATTCGCCAGCCAGGTTGGCTGCAATGCAAGTGAAGGTCCCGGAGTCCTTTGACGTGGTGATCAGGATCTCCAGGGTCCCGTTGCGGTACACAACTGTGCGAGAAGAGTTTCCCAGCAATCGATCTTCAGGGGTGACCCAGTGTATGGTAGGGATGGGATCTCCGATGGCATCGCACCGCAGGCTGGCAGTCTGTCCCTCCAGAGCCAGTAACTTGTGGGTGTGTTGTGTAATCAGTGGCTGCTCGCACAGAAACTCATGCTCCCGAACGTTCCAGAAATAGCGACCCTTTAGGCCAGGAGGCGAGGCGCAGGTCTCCAGGTCATCGTCTCTCTCCAGACGGCGGAACCACAGCAGTTCGCAGTTGCAGTGCAGTGGATTTCCTCCAATGCTGAGTGAGAGCTGAGGAGCGAACGGTGTGGTCATCACCTCTGAGTCCTGCGCTCTGGCGAAAATAGGATCCGGTGGGAGCTTCTGCAGACGGTTAGAGGTGAGGTCTAAACGGGCCAGTCTTTCCAGATCCACGAAAGTGCCCTCAGGAATGTAGTCCAGCAAATTGTGGTCCAGACTCAGCTGGTGCAGGTTGATCATCTGCCGCACTGAGTGCCAGGGCAGAGCCTGAAGGTTGTTGTAGGACAGGTCCAGATCCTCCAGCGTGGCTGCAAGGTCTTCAAACGCCCGCTCAGAGACGCGGCTCAGCTGGTTGTTGTTGAGGATGAGGTGCTGCAGGCTGATCAGTCCTCGCAGGTCATCTGGACCCAGCTCCGTTAAACGGTTGTTATCCATATGGAGAGAGCGGAGAGTCTCCAGGTCCCCGAATGAGAAGGGCTGAATGTAGCTGATGGTGTTGCGAGAGAGCGTAAGGTCCACTAGGTCTGTCATGTTGGCAAAGTCCTGCTGTGTGATTCGCAGGATGAAGTTTCCACCCAGCCGGAGCTCCACGGTACTGCGATCTATATCAGACGGCACGAAGAGCAGGCCTTTGGCCGGGCACAGGGTACCCAGAGACTCAGACAGGTTCTGGCATGCACAGTACTTGGGGCACGCTCGGGCCATCACGGCAACCATACCTAGGACCAGCATCTGACAGAGCCCGTGGTCCATGGTAGATTCACACTGAGGGACCTGGAAGACAACAACACACAGAGGTTAGTCAGCATCATCAGAGAGAGCATGCTGCTGTTGCATCAGGTGTCAGGTTGGTATGAGGCTTATCTTTCTAGATTTCTGAACATTCAGTTTGTAACTATAATCAAGCAGCTTAAGTACTTCTGCATGTGTGTTTCAAGCTTGCAGAATGGTTGTGCTGCTGTCAAGAAACAGATCAGATGAGGGACAGTAAGGCCTAGGACACGCATCTTGTGTCTGCAGATCTTTGCCTTCAGCAGAAGGTTAATATGGAGCTTTCAGCTTGCAGAACTGTTTTAGGGTAGCTTTATTCATTCATTCATTCATTCATTTTCTTTTTGGCTTAATGTCGAAAAGAAAATGAATTAATTAATCTGGGGTCGCCACAACGGAATGAACCGCCAACTTACCTAGCATATGTTTAACACAGTGGATGCCCTTCCAGCCCCAACCCATCACTGGGCAACATCCATACACACACACTCATACACTGCGGTCAATTTTAGCATACCCAATTCACCTGTACCACATGTGTTTCTACTGTGGGGGAAACCAAAGCACCTGGAGGAAACCCACGCCAACACGGGGAGAACATGCAAACTCCACACAGAAACACCAACTGACCCAGCCAAGGCTTGAACCAGCGACCTTCTAGCTGTGTGGGGAATGTGCCACCCACTGCGCCACCTGGTAGCTTTTATTTGACTTTTATATGATTATTTTCAGATTTATTTTTATTATTATTATTATTTTGTGTTTTTAATAATTTTTATTTGCATTTACCCTTGTGTCTGTTAGTGCTGCACATTTTATGTCTGTAAAGTGCCTTGAGATGCTACTTTTAGGGCGTTATTAAAAATAAAGTTTATAGTTATTATTATAGCATTTCCAGAACTAAAGTAAAGTGATTTCTGGAGAAGCACACTGAATATACTATAAAGGATAAATGGGTTGTCAGAAGTGAGCGATTGAGAGCCATTACAAACCAAATCTGATTTACACGAATGATAATTAACTGTAACCCTGAACACAGAAGTGATGCTGATTGAGTAGGTGTGTGTGTGTGTGTGTGTGTGTGTGTGTGTGTGTGTGTGTGTGTGTGTGTGTGTGTGCTGCACTTCTGTGTGTGCTGCTTTATTAAAGAACAGAGTGTTTTCTGCTGAGTTGCATGTGATGCTCTGCAATAACCGGCTAAGCGCCAGAGCTGCATCCTCAGTGCCGCAGCGAGACGAGCACACGTGCAGTGTAATGCTGAAGCTCTGGGTGTGGCAGACACAGCATGAGAATAAATATTTACATCTTTAAAAACATGATTTCATCCTCCAAGACTGTTTCTCACTCTGTGTTTGCCGCCTGCCTCCGCCGGGCCAGTGTAAGGCTAATATCCCACATTTTGTTCAGTGACAAGTTCATTACCGTGCTTGGCGAGAGGTGAGACATTTGTCTGAGTGCAGGCACCCCATCACCTTCACACCATGACAAAGAGAGACAGAGACACTGGAGGAGGATTTTCCCTGATTAGACTCTGAGAAATAGAGGACACTTCAGCTAATGAGCGGCTCCTAATTGCAGTCAGTGGTGCAAACTGCACAACAGAAAGCAAGAGAGAGAAGATTAAAGAGCAGGCAGGATGAGAAAACAGGCCGCCATTAGCACAGCTGCCAATTATTGCAACAGAACTAAAGATGAATAAAAGTATTTTGATTACGGTTATTTTTATTATTATAATTCATGCTCAAGACCTCTGATAAACCAGTCGTCCTCCATCCATGCCTCTCCACTGCTTTATCCAGAGCAGAACTGGTCCTCTGACTGAGCCTGGCTTCACACAAGGTGTGTTCTCCATTTCCATCACCAGTTTAGTTGAGGTGAGTAGAGCTGCTCTTCAGTCAAGCTCATCCATTCCTATTGAACTGAACTCAACAATCTGACGTAAAGACACAAATTAAAGAATTAAAGGAGACTTTTGGAGATGTGTGGACTACAGTTCAGTGTCTCTAAAAGAGTCTTTTCTCCTCTCCTCTCACACTCCTCCTCACCTGGGCAGATTACACACACTCGGACAGACCATTCACAACGAGAGGATCATCTACATCTTGAATACTGAGCGCCATACTGCTTACTGTCTCATGTGTAAATCTAGTGGGTTTGGTGTCTCCTGTAGCAAATCCACTGACAGTTCTCTCTCAGCCAGCATCTGCACTGTTTTCACTGGGAGTCTGAGGTGGTACTGAAGGATGTATCAGGTACCGGCACAATGGAGAACCACAAGAAAAGTGAGGCAAACAGGACTGTACTGTGCAGTGGAAAGGCTCCAGTGTAGTCTCACTTTAACCTCTCTGAGGTGTCTGTCTCAATATAAACATGGACGGAGGTGTCCAGCCGGATGCAAAGGTTTTTTCAAGATTGTTCAACCTTTCTTCTGGAAATTTGAGGCAGAAGAATCATCAATAATGGGAGGACCACAGCTAATCCTTTTAATCTGACTTCTCTGCTCACCTGTGGAGCTACCAAATCTCGTCTAATTTTGCCAACTCTTTCTAAACTGAACATCCCAGCTTTAGACACTGCAAACTATTTTAAGCGGTCTCCTGGCCCTTCATGTTTTTATTAAACAACGCCTCTTAGGTTGTTGTTCCACTTCAACAATGCAGAAATGGTGGACCTGAGAAACTAAAAGCACTGCACATTCTCAGTGTCCTGACCATTAATAACTAATGACAAACAGCATTAGTCCTTTTCTTTGTTTTAGGGCACTGAGCACAAGATTAGGAACTCCATTAAAACAGTCTAGACGGCTCCCTCCTGTAGACTCATGATGGCCTTTATTAACACAATCACAGATGCTGAAAAACATTGCACTGATTTACAGTGTGAGTCCAGTAATGGAGTCAGAACACATCCTCATGGGCCCTCCACACTCGAGAACGAGAATTATTCATTTTTACTACTTGTGTTTTATTCAGCAAACAAATCCAAAACCCCAAAAAGCAAGGCACTTTTGAATGCCTAGTTCCCTTAATAAAGTTTTCAATGAAAATACAATAGTAATTTATAGTAAAAAGCTTTTGAATCACACTAAAGTGTATTATTTTCATCTATTTCAAAAAGGCCACTGCATATTGTAGTATAGTGTGTGACCCATAAGTCTCACTCCCCCAGCCTCCTCCTCAGAGCATTTGCCTCCCATGCAGGAATCGCCAGTTTGATCCACACTTTGAATGAGTGGGTGTCCAGAGGACCAGTTGGAATACAATAAACATAAATACTTTTGAATACCTTTGATTTTACTACAGTCATCTGTGGTGTAATGTAACACACCTTATCTGTAAAATACGACAGTAATTTGGTCATTTGTGTTACTACATGAATGAGTTGGTCAGTTGTAAACATTTGACATTTTTCCCACACTTTCACCAGCAGGGGTCCTCATTGAGTTCTGATTTGGAAATCTTTAAGTAATAAACCTTTTTCTGATACATTCATCATTTATTCATTTTCTTTTCAGCTTAGTCCCTTTATTAATCTGGGGTTGCCACAGTGGAATGAACCGCCAACTTATCCATCATGTTTTTGCGCAGCGAATGCCCTTCCAGCTGCAACCCATCTCTGGTAAACACCCACACACACAAACTAATACACTACGGACAATTTAGGCTACCCAATTCACCTCAACCACATGTCTGTGAACCCGGAGGAAACCCACGTGAACGCAGGGAGAACAAGCAAACTCCACACAGAAACGCCAACTGAGCCGAGGTTCGAACCAGCGACCTTCTTGCTGTGAGGCGACAGCACTATCTACCGCACCACTGCTTCGCCTTTTTTGGATACAATTGAGGCGAAGGGTTCACTGGTACAGAAAGCTTCATTTTACCGTCACTACAAATTTTCCTCACCAGATACAACACAACAGAATCAACAGGATTATATCTGCTCCTGTCATTGGTGTGGACTGGTGGAGCTGTGCACCTGTGGATCTTTCAACATGTGACATTTACATTAAACTAAACTGAATCCGTTATAAACTAGATCTACACCAGCACTTCTACACCACTGTCCTGCCTGCCTGCCTTGCTGGAATGTCCCACAGTCTGAAATCATCCATGTTTATTCTCCTTTCTTCACTCATGTTAAGCTGCTTCGACACAATCTACACTGTAAAAGTGCTATAGCAATAAGGATGATGCGACTGCTCTGTTGATTAAATGTTAACAAAACAGTTTGATTAGTGATGCATATCAAAGCATTTAATAAGCAGCCAAAGAAGCAGCGGTTAATCCGGTTAGCGTGACTCAGTAAAGCGTGTTTGATTGTTGGTTAATGCGTCCCTGGAGCGAGACACTGATCTGCTGTGCACCTGCTGGGCTTCAGTCCACATCAACACCTGGCGAACAGAGATAGATGACAGCACACGGTCAGCCGATTGAGGATACAGATACATATGTGCTCTGATCATCTCCACATGCGTGTGTGTGTGTGTGTGTGTGTGTGTGTGAGCGGCACATTCACACACACACAAGCTCATCTGCTTCATCTGTATGCTGAGCTCATGGCAGAATACACTGATATTGACGTACAACGGATGAATGCAAAGTCCATTATGAGCAGCAGCGTGCCCTTCTGTCTTAATTACACAATGCCTGCACAAAATTAATGAATCTGAGGCCGGCGGTCAATATTTGCTAATCACAATCCGTCATTCAGAATCCAAACAAACCGATTTCCTCATGCTGCTTTTTGACTTTACAGGAAAGCAGTAACAGCTGAATTGTGTCTTTCTTCCTCTCTCTTGCACATATTCCTTCAGTGATTCAGCCGTTCACCTGTGAACCCTTCACTATCCCGGGTTTATTCGCTCCAGCGGTGTAGAAAACAGCGTTTAGAGAAGCGCATTACCGCCAGCAGAGCGTCTGAACTGACACACAGCACTGAATTCACCGAGACACGTCATTCTCCACTGAGCAGCTTTACTGGGATCTCACAGGAAACACACC